GTTAAAAAATGAACATTTTATGTAAGTGTAAGCTTGACTTGAAACTTTAAACGCGTTTTTCTCGAAACTACATTTTTCAAATCGGTGATCAATATTTCTCGAAAACTACTGTGTCGATTTACATGAAGCCTTTTGCGCCGTATTTCAAATCAGAAAAACTTGTCCTTGCACGAAGGATTCTTCTGTTCGTTCCATACCTTTTTTTTAATTGACCAAAAACGAGTGATTTTTTAGGTGAAAATCGCACTTTTTCAATAAAATGTTCACCATTTTGTTTCTAATCAATATTTCGAAAAATTCTTCGTTCAAGGGCAAGATTCGTTCTTCCGTTACATAAATCTTACTGAATTTTTAATTTCAGATGAACCGTTACGAAGTTACAGTGATCACGGCAGACCACTTTTTGTGAAGAGACATTCGGCAGATCGCTCACCATTTATTTACTAATAAATATTTTTAAATACAAAAGTTACCTTATAATCTAGAAACTGCAATCTTTGAAACACAAACACATTTTTTTAAAAAGGCAGACCACTTTTTGTGAAGAGACATTCGGCAGATCGCTCACCATTTATTTACTAATAAATATTTTTAAATACAAAAGTTACCTTATAATCTAGAAACTGCAATCGTTGAAAAACAAACACATTTTTTCAAAAAGGTCTTATAGTTTTCGAGAAAAAAATTCCTAAAGAACACTCTTTTTTTCGGCCTCCTGACTGAGCATGACCCCTTAACAGAACTCAGTGATACTATAATCTGTGCAGTATTGACTTTCATGACTGAAGACCACATCACTATTACACCATAATATGTATATAAACAGTACATTAATTGTGGAAAATACAGAAATGAAAACTGTATCCGTATTATACGATATCGACGTGTAGAATCACAAATAATTTCATTAACGGCCCGTTTGACTCGACCTTTCATCCCCACGCCATGGCGCGCCACCTGATTGAAAATTTCGTCGATTTTACGAATTTTGTAATGAAACCTTACCGGAACATTCCATACGATCCATATTTTCGGGAAATACAAGAGAATAAAATCGAGATATTTTCGAAACCCGAATCGAGGAGGAGCCCTTAAAGAGACAGGAATGCAACAGCCTCGCGTTGCTAGATTTTTCTCAACGTTCGTCTATCGAGGAATTGGTCGGAACGAGTGTTCGCGAACCACGGGAGCCTTCTTATTGCGTCTCTTGCCACTTTAAGAAGCGGACTCCGAGATAATGACCCAATTAGATGTCATTTACACGTTGAGTCATATTGTCAATTTATCCATGTCCGGCTGCCAGGCTTTAATGCTTTACGCGCCACGGTTATCCACGTTTGGTATCGAAAGGTAAACCGTCCCGAAGTAACGCGCGACGCTGATAAACGTTGCACCTGTGGCTATTGTTTTCATGAAAACTGCTCGTAGCCAACTGTAAAGACAGAAAGAAAAACAATTGTTAATGCGTCTCGAATGCTTCCATATTCCTGTACACGTGGGAACGAAGTGGTTCCTCGTAAAAAAGTATGAAAAAAATGTGGAATAAAATTGTTTTCATTCGAGGCTTAGCTTCCGAGAAAATCCAGTTTGAAAATCCACTGCGTGCGTGTACAATTATGGCTAAAAAAAATGGTTCATCGAGTGACGTATAACATCTATCGTGTACGACCTCTCGGTTTTTATGTGTGGGGTTACATTAAAGAAACCGTTTATAGTCAAGTACAGACTGCAGGTTTTTATGTAAATTTACAATTTTGGACACTAATATAGAAAAAAACAAAATTGCAGAAATTTCTTTTCTATGCTATGAGTTTTCATGTGTTAATGATAATACATAAATAATATTAAATTTTACTGAAATCTTTATTTTGTTAAATTTTGTAAATCAAGGAACGCTATAAATGCATAAACGTCCGCAGTCTAGTCACAATATTGAAAGTGGGAACCGTTTTGGAACAGTTTAGTTTCAGCAATTCAGTAAGTACTTAATACAATAAAATAGTTGACAAAATATCTTTTTGTTCTTTCTTGAATCTAGTAACTCGTAAATATCACGTAGGCACTTTTTAGAAACACGATAAACATACGTCGCTCGGTGAACCATATCTTAGCCGTAATTACATATATGTACGCAATGGATTTTCAAACCCGATTTTCTCGAAAACTAAGCCTCCGATAAGAAAATTGTATTCCATATTTTTTTGCTTATTTTTTTCACAAGGAATCACCGTGTGCCCTCTTGTACATGTTATTCGGCCGCACCCTGTATATTTCATCGAAAGTGGAAGCGCAATTTCGTAGGCACTGAATCAGCCCTGATGCCCTTCTCAGGTCCGCTGTTGCTGCAACGTTCCGACCACGATGAAATCCCTGTAAAATGCTGAATGTTAACAAGACGATCGATAAAACAAGTGAAATGATTATTTTGTCCAAGTAAACGTTTAATAAATGATTAAGGATAAACTGTGCTCGCGCGGCGAATGACGTCGAGGCTCTCATTTTCTTAGCCACCTAGTATACACATCCGGTCGGGCGAGCAATCTGCACTTTCCTACTTCATTCATCGACGCATTCTGTGGCCTTTGAAGGTTGCACAGGCAGAAAGGAGCGGGCACGGTCGCGCGCGCGCGCTCGCTCGCTCCCTCGTTCACCGGCGATCAGAGCCAGCCAGCGTGCACGCCGACCAGTTTCAACATAATAATTCCTTCTTGGAAATCCACCCGTGTGGTATTATACACCACTGCATTCTACATGGCATCTGCGAATGGGATTCGCGTCGTTTGTTACATGTGAACCGAACCGCGAACGCTTTACTCAAATCGGTTTCATAAGGGTTTGTTTTTTCTTTCTGCGTAGACTCTTCCTACATTGCCAGCATTGCCTTTAGGTTTTAATTGAAAATTTTGTACACTCGCGAGCAAACTCGGCTTCCGCTAGGGAAAAAAGTGACGTAGGAGAAGGACCTCCTACCGCTTGATAAACGTATTCCAATTACTGAAATAAATGTTAAATTGAATGTTAATTTGACATACATTTCAATTATTCCCGAAACCAAATAGCACTTGGTCCTCACTCCTACCACTTGGTAAACTTATTCCAATTACTGAAATATATGTTAAATTGAATGTTAATTTGACATACATTTCAATTATTCCCGAAACCAAATAGCAGGAGGTCCTTCCCCTACGTCACTTTTCCCCTAATGGAAGCCGAGTTTTCTCGTCGGTGTACATTGATCGTCGTTACAGTTGTCAATTGATCGTGAATTAACTGAATACCAAAATTAAAGATACGATAAACCATTCGGCTAATACGGTTCTATGAGAGACATCGTGGGAAATTAAAGTTCATGCCTTACATTCAAGTATCTCCGGCATGCAATAAGATGATAAGAAACGCGAGACCACGTGACTGTACCAGCAGGAAGTCATAATGATAGGGAGCACCGGCATCAATGAAATGGGAAACTACCAATGACTGGAATACTATCGTCATCCCCAACGGTCTCCTACGTCACCATTGGGTCAGCAACCGTGACACGGCTTTCACCGAGCACGCCAGTACGGTTGCCTCAAGTATTGCAATTTCTTGCTGTCGCTGAACCATTTACGGATCAAAACTACCTTAGGAAGGGACCAGTAGTCTAGATTTGTTGTAATACTCAAAGACACAGAACCGTTATTATTTTGCTTTCGGTATTTATTTCCGATCTGCAGGAAGTAATGTTGATTTTTGATAATAGGTACGTTCTAATAATAATCGTTAATAGGTACGTTCTGATAATAATCGTTCTAAAATTATATAAATAACTGAAATTAGTGATATAGTTTATCTTGTAGTCTAAATGCGCGGTTACGTTATCCAAAATTGTTCTCAAATACTATTACTTTCCCACGAACTCGATGTATATTGATGTACCTACTGATATTTACATCGTACATTATATCATAAGGATTACAATAACGTAACCGAAAGGTATGTACTGGTACAGTATCAATATCTTGACATGAGAGTCGGATGATACTTTAAACACATTAGCCGAATTTTCATTGCTATTTACCATCCTAGATTAGTCATCATCATTGATGGGGTCTGTAAAGACCCGAACCTGAAGAATACCATGATGGAGCCAGTATTCCGACCAATACGACCTTCAGTCCTTTCAGATCCAAACTATTCAACACTTTGCAATTTCCAACGTTCTGCAACAGTGGAATAAGTACTTATTTCTTATCATCGATAAAAGAAATAGAATATTCTACCTTGTCACTCGATTCTTAAGTACAAACCATTAAATAATGTCTTTTGACATTCATTACGGGGTCCAAGCGTTAGGGTCCAAAAAGAATAAACCGCATTTTAAAAAACCATGCCCCGTTTCAACTATGTAATCACTTGCATATGCTCCACCTACGGAACAAACAAAGCGCCATGAATAAGTCCATCAACGGGCGAATATAGCCTGGGAAACCGGCGATACCGAGCGAACACCGGCGCGCGTTCCATCGAAAATTCCGTTCGTTCGATTCTCAGAGCGCACACAGGTATTCGCGCTTGTAACCGTGCACGTGCGCGAGAGCACCCTTTCAGAGAAGCGAGAGGGGAAGGTTATCGACGGCGCCACGGACAGTGAACAGAGAGGAGAGAGAGAGAGAGAGAGAGAGAGAGAGAGAGAGAGAGAGAGAGAGAAATGAGAAGAGAGAACCTGAAACGCCAAAGGAAAAGAAGAACCAAAAGGAGAGATAGTTCACCCAGGTAAGACTGTGTGTGGTGTAATCCGGTGGGGTTCCTCGTATAGTTCCACAATGTATAGTAGTATAGACCGCGTGCCGGGATACACCGGTGGACCGATGGTGGGGAGGAATCGTGAATGATCCATAGAAGTCTGGTACGTTGTGTGCGCTCCTGAACGTGTGCTATGTGAACCGCGGCAGTAGTAGCGCGTGGAGAGTATAGTGTACCGATAGAAGGGAACGGAATGGTAGTGGAACGGTGGGAAACGTCAAAGAAATGGTAGGGATACAGCGGGGTAGAGCAGTGGGGTGCGGGTAGAGGTTCGGCTTCGGAAATGGCCGCGGGAAAGTAGAGAGCGTTACGTCGTCCGGCAAGCAGGCGGCGAGCCTAAAAGTTTTTCGTGTGTGCAGCGGCGCTCGCGTTAACCCGGCGCATCGTGCGTGCGAGATTCACTGGAGACCGTCGGGGGAGCCCACATAACTTGCGATATGTTTTAAGAATATCGAGAATTCGGCCGAAACGGATCGAGATACGGGGCTATCGAGTCAAGGTGTAGAGTTGGTGTCCAGGTGAGAAGAGCAGCCGGTGGCTGGAAGAGAGGAGATCAGTGCGGGACAGTCGTGTATGTGCACGAGGATGGCCGGCGACGACGGTGCACCACCGAACAATGAGATCCTCGGTACGGACGGAGGGGGGCAGGGTGCGTCAGCAGCGCGGGGGGAACTGCATTCCAGAGTGGGCGGCATCCTGGAATGCGATCCCCCCGGTAACAGGAATTCGCCGAGCGAGCGAGCCTGCAACGAGCACCACGACGACCACGACGACGACCACGACGACGACGACGGAAGCGGTGGAACAACTGTGATTGCCGACGACGATTATAACAACAGCGCTGGAACGGTCGGAACCACCGTGATTGCCGACGATAACGGCGGCCTGTGCCGATATGCTATCGGCACCGCCAATACCGCTATGTCTTTCATCGAAGTTTGCCAGGTAATGACCGGGTTTGCCGGTGTTACGTGCCTTTAATCTCTTCTAGCTGTCAATGAGCCTTATCCTTCCTCCTTTCGATCTAACCTCACGACGGTGTCTCCTTTGCGCGCGTTTCTTTCTCTTTCTTCGTCTCGCTCACGTGAAAGCTCCGGCCGTGTTTTTCGAAGAGAAAATCAATAAGTAACAGTTGTTTTTTTAATTATTACTTTCGTCCTGATTCTATCGTGTAACGCCGGTCCCCCACGATTCGAATTCAGAATCAGGAGCGTATAGACCTGAGAATTGTTTAAAACGTTGAGCTAATTCGGTCTTTGAAGTAATGAGAACGAAGCACCGTTAATCGTTCAATTACTACCTCGCTTTCACCTCTGTAGTTATTTCGAAAGGATTTCCGTGTGTAACACTGTTATAACGAAATGTCTCTTTTTAGATACGACTGCAGCATCTTTTCCCACAATTAGTTTCCTCCGCCCAAGGATACAGCCGCTGCGATGACTCCATAGAGCGGACAGCGCAACGTTTGGCCGACGACGTGATACGATATCTGCTAAAGGAAGATATTTATCTCATATCACGTGATCCAATCTCCCGTAGCATGAGACACAATGTGTATCAGATGCTTAACAAACACAGTATCTTGTTCGCAAGTATGGTGAACCGTTTGAATGTTATGCCGGACACGGCGTACGAGGCGTTCATGGGTGTCGCGGATGAACTTTTTCTGGACGGCGGCGTTACATGGCCGAGAATTGTCTGTTTGTACGCGTTCATGGGAAGACTTGCACTCTGGGCCCGTGACAGGCGAATGCACACTCTGAAGAAAAAATTACCGGAATATGTCTCGAGATTTATCGGCGACAAAGTAGCGCATTTTATCAAAGGATACGGAGGATGGGTAAGTGCTTTTTAAAGTGCTGTTTCATATGCGTATTCGAAAATAATAAACACTCTTACAAAATATTTATGATGCTTCAAAATGATGTGTATTGCTGGTAGGACTGATGACAACATGTTTATTTGTATAGTTAGATTTTAGTAGCGAATTACACTTTAAATTAATTCATGTTTAATACATATATAATGCTTTTATAATTTGCTTGTGATCTCTAGCCTCAGCACCAATACAATTCATTACGAAGTATTATATAATGATCAGTCATTCCTTGAGTGTGTATGTAGATACAATTTCCTTGCGTCTGATGTTGATATGTTTCCTTAGGATCAGCTGTGTATAGAATATCCAGTGGCAGAAGAGATCAGTGGAGCTATCTGGAGGAGTCTTCTAATGACTGGTGCCACCCTTGGTTTGGTTGCAACTATTTTAACTGTGACTTCCTGATATACCCTTACAAATCAAACCCCACGGGGTATATTTTCCGCGAGACCTTTTAGCGTACTTATATTTTACCAAAATGCGCTGAAAAACAATTTTCAAGACTTTGTAAGACGCTCTTTCATTGGTACTGAAAATGGAATTATGTGATTGGAAAGTTGATTGTATTATGCCTTTATAACAGAATGCGGGATGTAGAGTTAGTACTGTCCTTGCAACGCGCACAATCTTCATATCGATGTCACTTCGTTTAGAAACATCCTACTTTTTATGTAACTACAACAAATATGTAGCATAAGAGAAGGATAACGATACAAGTTCCCTATTATATCCGTATTTCGTACTAATTGCAGATCGATGGAGTAGTTAAATTAGTAAAAACAAATCTTATTTAATGTTAATCTAGATATTTTATATCAAAATAATTTCATACGATACTCAAAATTGACCTTCCAGATATTTATAGTAAACAAGAATCTCAAAATTTTATTGAATTTAGGTAGAAGCGAATCTAAATATATTTATTTTTAATTTATTCTAGGTAGAAAATATATTAAATAATAAATTTCCCTTGTCAATCAAAGACCATCATATTTGACGTGTAGAATTTATAAACGATGATTGATGTAACAGACTTTAAACAGCAGTGAATATTATGTGTTAGCTTCTAATAACATTGCAAAAATTTTATATAAGTATTCGAAAATAATAAACACTTTTACAAAACACCAGTTCTCCTATTTGTATCAATTCTTTTATAAACCTGTAACAAAAAAAATATCTACAAAATCAAATACAAAAGTTCCATGTTTTATATATGTATTTGAACATTTAAACATTTTATGTTAATAAAATATTTAGATGTTGCTTTTAACTTTTATAAACAAAAATAGAGAGTGTGAAAGAAGTTAGATGATTCATTCAAGTAGCTGATTTTTATGAAACATATTCAGTCAATCCATTAAGGATAATTAATATATTTATTTACGCTTAATGATTGCATTTAATAATATGTTAAAAAACATGTTCTAACACGAATAATAAAAAATATTGGATTGTAATATCTACATAAAAATAGTAAAAAAATAATAAGTAGGTATAAAACAAAGATCATTGTCAATATCATAAACATGTAGTCTTAATCGTAATATTTTTTGCAAACGGATACGAACAAAATAATTTGGGGTATAAGATCTTATTTCTACCAAACAAATTAATTTCAAAAAGGTATTTTCGTAAAAAACAGACAAAACATTTTTAGCACTGAAATTATTATAAATATATTTTTCGGATGTTGGTATAGTTTTATTTAAAGTAGCATACTTATTCAAACATAAATATAATCTACTTACTACTCAAAATATATTGATTTATTGGTTGATATCAAAATGCAAGTATTCGAGAACCAAAAAATGTCTAAAGTACATGATTATTTGTGGGCATAGTCATGACTTTTTTATCTCCTGAACGAATAAGATAATATTATTTAAAGTAGCAGCGTGCAGCATAAATCTTTTGATTGTAGAATTGAACAAATGACTTTAATTAATTATGTTTTATTGATAAAATATTTTACGTGGTTCTTGCGTAATGCGTAGGTAATATTGCCAATGATCGATTATTAATAGGTGCTAAAATCATGCGACTGCAGAACAGTTTTTCGAGTGATACTGTCGATTTCTTATCTCGTTGGCAGATTCTAGCACTATTTGCGTTACATTTCTCGGATATGTTTAACAATTTAAAAAGTCTAAAATCAACTACTCAAATTTATCGCACACGTCTTAATAAATATACGACGATTTTTAAGGACGAATAATCGTTACACGATTTACAGAAAACTAGTTTAAACTGTTCTCTGTCTGTTTTCTTACGTTTGAATATAAAAAAATGTAATTCCCTGATCGTTATGTATAATTTTACGCATTACATGAATATACAATGAACTATAGAATAATTTCCTGTGAATATATCTAACATTTCTCTTAGTTCTACTCAAATTTTGTGACTGTACAGAAAACAACTGCATTTTTTTTTACTCCCTAACGTGGATAATAGTAAGAATCAACAAGTTCTTCCTTTTTTTTTCTTCTTTAATAAACCTTCGAATGTTTCTACTTTAAGTTTGCTAATATTGATATTACAACTATATATAAGTATGTATTATGCATTTATGTGTGAATATATAACTATATAACTGTACAAACGGAACTCTCATGTCGTTCCCCACTTATATCACAATAAGTGAACATTGTGTCATGGTCATTAACCGTGAATTAGTTGGCTAGTGATACATGAAACATATCGTCAGCATTATGAAAATATCACATAAGTAAACTTCAACGAAAACGACAGACTACTGATTTCTTTCATATTTCGAATAAATACAGCTGTGAAATATGAAATGACACATGTATATGCTGAACATTAACAATTTTTAGCCTAAATGTATAATATTAACAAAACAATTTTACCAAAAGTAAGGTAATTTAAACTACAAATTCTTAAACACATTGGACCCCTTCATAGTATACGAGTATGCTTTTGATAATTTGTCCAAAATTAACAAAAGAGATCAGAACTAAAAACGAAATGTCAGTTGATGTACAAAACACATAAATATGATACTGACGATATGATCACTTTAATTCAGTTTTCTTGAAATTGGCAATTATAGCCTGGACGTTTAATTGTCCACAATAGAGCAGAAATAATAAGATATCTTGCGAATCTTATTTGCACCAAATCCTGTCGTGTTCAATTACCCCTTCATAAATCGAATTCACAGATCTGAGAATAAGAGACAGCTTAAGGTGTTCTAGACCTATATGAGCCTTTTCATGTACTACTTAAAGAACTCTCTAAAGAAAAGTTTTCTCTTTTATTTTACTATTCAGTTAACGACCTTTCTAGAGAATCTTATAGTAGTATGAAAAGATATGACATATCATTACACTATAACATTCAAATATATTAAGCAAATTTCAGAGAAACTTTCTTTCAGTACTGCAACACACTATTCTGATTTGTTTCACACTTCCTTTCTTAATCATCTGATGTGTTTGCACATAGAATCGATCTGAGATTCGAAAATATCATTGCAAGCTGTATTTGTGAGGGATCGAATTATTGCAAGGATGAGTAGCACACAGCAAGCGCAAATTAGAGTCAGTAATCGATACAAAAGTATTTTACGTGTGGCCTGATAGTAGTAGGATTCAATTTTAATAAATTCAAAATTCATAACGATATATGTGTTGCCACAGGTCATATTGTGTTCAAAGTATATCTAACACGTAAATCACTTGGTGACGCTCTATTTTTTGTCTCTTGTCAGCTTTCTTGATTTATCACAGCTGGGGCAACAGTGACAAGATAGGAAACTTGTCCCACATCCCCAAAAAACAAAGCTGGTACAGCCCTCTATTCCACATAGTCCCACCAATCCTTTTCATATCCTTCGTGTACATGTTCTAAAAGCACTTTTCTCCGACTATCGCAGTATCTTAAAAAAATTAAAATACCGATAAAATGTTTTTTGCTTCGACAGTAATGTGTAAATTATTGATATTATTTTGTCTCGCGCTAGCTTACCTATATTTATCTTGAACTTTTTGCTTGATATCAGCAAGATTTTCACTTGTAATATCTCTTTCAAGATATTCCGAGAGGCGTTCTGTCGTTCCCTCCAGATCTTTCTGGTTGTCTTCAAAAATCACAGATTGGTTGTTTTTTCTCAAATAGTAAGCGAAAACATAAGTATACATAAGGGTCTGTCTACAGGAACACAAGATATCTACCGCTTTCTTTAAGAATTGTACCTGAAAATATTATTAACGTACAGCTTAATAATAAAGGTATACTTGTCCGATGTTACTTTTTATTTGATATGAAATTAACTTTACCTCGATCCAAGACATATTATGTTGTTGCATTTCCTCCATTTTTTCTTTTACACTTGCGTAAAGTTTACTTTCAAATTTCAGCGACTGCATATGATTCATGTATCTATTACAATAAAATAAGTATCTTTGTAGTGCAGATCTTTTTTTCTCTTGGGCATCCCTGGCAGCTTTAGCCTCTTCTTCGTCATAACGATTACAATTATACCAACTAGAACCATGTGGATCCCATGGCCCAAGACACACCCAACAGAAGTCAGTTTTGCAATTTTGATTCTTGCACACCATATGGTTACAACCACCGTCTTTTTCAATAGTAACATTACACTTGGGGCACTCCTTTGTATTTGCGGCGATCCAATTTGATGTTTCTGAATCGTCATCGCATTTCTTTATCCATTTACGTAGTAAATGACATTTCACAGGATCGTGCCAATTTTCGCCGCAGTGGAAACAAAATGTGTGCCCACACTTGCAAGTTACAGGTCTGGCTTCAATATATTGAACTTTTATAGCATTATTACAGTCCGGGGATGGACACCACCTCAGTAACCTATTACACTACAAAACCAAATAATAATTAGAATATTTGACGAATAATTTTTTAGACAAATAAGAATGTATAAAATTATAGTTACTTCAACAAAACTATTAGTTATTAAATGCTGATACTTCAGCTTAACTTTAGAGTCTTTTACAAGACGCATAACACTGGCATCATCAACTAAAATGTCACAGGCATGTGCTGCGCATGCAATTGTTTGACCAACTCCTTCTTCCATGATCTTGGTTGTCAGATACTCCCCCCAACAGCCAGTACAAAAACGATGTCCACACTCAAGTCCAGTCATCATCTAATATTTTTTTTAAGAAATAGTATAAAATTTTGTAAATATTATTACATTTTTGTTAAATAATATTGTATTATTACGCCTACTGCAGATGGTTGAACCATGAAGCAGATTCCACATTCTTCAGTACCATTTGTTGACATTCTTCTTGACTAAAAAAATTATGAACACATGTTGTAGTCTTTTTCTTTTTATCACATCCAAATGGAAGCACACTGAAGCTTACCAAAGCATTCTGGGAAGATTGACTTCTACTTATTAATGGAGCCTTCCTAAATGGATTGATGACACGTGCTTCTGCAAATAATTTCTCTTGATCCCCATCAAAAAAGCGTTCCATTAATTTTTCTTTATCCCACTTAAAATGATTTAATAAAATACGTGTGGTTGTTGCAGGTATCTACAATTAAATTATTTAATATTCCAATTATATTTATGATCCACTATTGTTAAAACTAGGAAAAATGTATATGTACTCTAAAACATACTTCTACAACCGTGTTGACTTCTTTTATGGAATCAATCATATGTTGCACTATCTCTTCTGTTGATAAAACTTCAAAGGGATATTCATCAACATCTGTTGTTCGTTCCCTTGGATTTTCTGCTTCAATTTCCATAGCAAAATCCACATCGTCCCCACTAGACTCATTGCCAGAGTCAACATCATCATACGTCTCTTCTTCAGAATCCATTGTGTTGTTGATTTTTTAAGTTCACAAAATGCTAATAAATATTTTTGTTTACTTTATGTAATTTGCACCTGTACATAAAACAATGCAAACCATGTATCCAGTTCTCTGGTTTCTACACCACATTCTTTTCTCTTCTACACATTGTGGTACATGGGTTCAACAACACAATAAGAATATAAACAAGTGTGTGCCATAGTTAAGAGCAACAGTACATTAGAGTTTTTTTGTCGCAGAGATTTATAGATTACCGCATAGTAATCAGACAAGTGATAACACAAACATGAACGTAATTATTGTTTCGCTACTTTATGGAATAAATATGGAAGAAACAGAAGTATCGCAACGGAATGTATCGCACCTGTACACACGAAATACTGTTGTAGCGGAACAAGGTGAAAACAGCTTATGTTTCAGCACATGACGTCATCGTTAGCTACTTCCCGAATAAAGCAAGAAGCTTTATTGCCCGTTTTCCCTTGCTCACTGCCGGCAGTATCGCGGAAAATCTATTGTCACTACACTATGTGAACTTTTTTTCACCAACATGGATGGTGTAAAAAATTCGAAATACTACAATGCTCGCGAGCACGAATAAAATCAGCTGCCAAAACATCCGAGTTGAACTCCGGTAGCTGATACATCAAATGCTATGTCCACGGGAGCAACGATGAATGGGCGGCCGTGATGTTAGCCAATCAGGAGTTTTCTGTGTTCTGTGTACAATACTTTCTCGCTATAAGCTCAGAATCGTTAGGAACATACAACAGAATGATCGTTGATGACAGTTGGTTTTTTTTTTCTTTAGAACAAGAATTATGAATAATAAAAATGACAAACTAAATGAAAAATTTCAGGATTTTTCTCAGAGTTACATAATTATTGCTATTAAGGTTTTCAGACCTTGTTTTTATAATATTATGATTTAGAAAAATGATTTTAATGTTTTACATGTACTGTAGCCTGTTTTATTAGGTTGTATGATACACTGATAGTGGTATGAGTCATATGGCAGTTTACTAATTTATTATCTCAATAGTTATACTCTGTGGTAGTACCTATTAAACTAAAACATAAGTGAAATATACTTTACTAATGAACTATCGTAAGACACACATCAGTATTAATATGTTATTCATACATCTGAAAGCCTCAACAAAAACAACTGTAAAAGAATGAGGACACTGTATATTTCACAAATGTGTCAGTGTATGGAAAATAATTACGAACGCGGATGAACATTCAAATAAATTCATAAAATACACCTAAAATACTGAATACCGATAATGGATATAGGGATTAATTGACAAATAACCCAATGGTTTATTCTATGGTGATCAAATATTAAAATACACTTGCATTATATATTCAATTATGTTGTGATCTATTAAATATTCCTATAGCTTATATTCGATGCGTTGTTAATTCTGTTAAGATTTCATATTTAATCCTGATTGATAAGAAACACCATTCTTCATTAACGAATACAGAATTAAGTACACATACTTCAACATTATAAGTTGACGACTTGCAATAATGATTTCATTCAAATTATCTCCATCTACTTCAAAATGATATCTATTTCAACATACTTTTTTATGACATTGCATTAATGTCATATAGTTATATACAATCCTTTGTATAACAAATATTAATACACAACTAAGGAATGTAATACACAATACATTTAACATTTGATTACAATTCACGAATTACCAATAAATTCTTTTAATGTGCTAACTCTTTGAGTCATATTAATGTGCAAAATGTTCATTGTAATTGTAACTATAATTTTTGAATCACTTAGAATAATTTAACAGATCAAAATTATACATAGAATTAATTAGTTTCTAGCTCTTGATAAATTAAAATATCAAAGGTTTCCTAAAAATATTTCTTTTTGTTATACACACAAGGTTGCTTGTATTTTCTAAAATGAAACCATATCATTTACTTCCTGTCTTGATGTTAAAGAGCTCAAAACAAATCCAAAAAAAATGTTAATCCATAAACAAATGTTCATTGTTTACATTTATTGTTTATTAATTGTTTACTTTCACTTTCTAAACATAGTTCTTTTAAGTTTTTTTACAATACCAACAGGAATTAGCGATGTTTCCATTTAAAAAAATAAAAGCAACTTCATTTCTGTAGTAAAAAAAATACCTTAAGCTTGTTAAATATTGTAATTTATTAGTAACTAAAAATTAATTAAATCTGAGTATACATTTTTTCTATAAAATTATTCTAAGTGGTTCAAAAATCGTACATACCATTAAGATGAACATAATATCTTGTAACAATTCAAGGGATGTAAAATACTAATTGTTGTACAACTTCATTAAACAGATCTGTTGAAAGGTTGTGCATTACTGTGTAATCACCAAACCAGGATAATTTTTCAATAACTGACGAACGAAAGATGAGTTAAGTCAATTTAGTTTAATTAACGAATGTTGAAAAACACGTCCGACACAAATCAACGATGTCAACGATAACACTAAACACAGTTAACGCGATACTTCGACTTCAGATCAACGTCGACATAATACTTCACAAATAGACAAGATGTATTACCATGCATGACAATATTTTCAGCCATCGCATCCAGTCTAGTCATCGAATTAGCAGACTAATCGGGAAAAATCATAAATTAATCTAAAATGCACCGTTTTCCATGAAAGAATGGACGAGCTTATAGCTCGAACACTGCTGTCACGTCCACTGCCATGGCTTCTCTTCGATTGACTTCAAAAACGTTACTTTTTTCACTGGTCGAAGTCAAAGTTGACTGCTCGGTGAATTGGAATTGACACAAAATTTCACGCAATATTATCCGAGAAATTGGGACTCAATTAGTGACGTGACAACGAAATGTCTCGTCACCAAGTGCCGTTTCACTGACTTCAGTCAACTACTTGAAGCTGCTCCCTTCGCGGCGCACAGCTGACGCACATGGGCGTCTCTACGGAGGGCACGTCTTTGACAGAGCTACTTAAATATAGTGTCTATTATATCTTTTCTAGTGTTCTACTTTTAAATTTATCGTATATGTTAAGAATAAGTAAATAATTTTGGTTTCTAAAGATATTAATTGCCTAACAAATTGATACGAACATCAGTATACGACGCTAATAAGCAGTAATTAATGTGACGTTAACCTAATTTATAAATGTGAATAAATGGCATGAAAATATATTTTTCCAGATCAATAGTACGGTTTACTTTATAATCGAGTTCATACGTAAAAATACTATATTCATTTGAGACTTAAAGTGATCTGTTTATATGGGACTTTAAATTGCGACGCCAATGCGCGTATGAACGCAATAGTGGAGAAGCTCACAGTGTTCTGTCAAGTTAAGTTAACCCTATCGCCTCGTAATATTCGAGGTAAATGTCTATGTGAATCACTGAATAATCGGGCGAAATGAGTCTGCCCAGCGTTAGTGACTATTCTTTACTGGAAAAAATCGGCTCGGGAAGTTATGCGACCGTATATAAAGCGTTCAAAAAGGTACGTGAGTTTTGAGGTTGGAGCAATGTGTAACCGAAACATATGATGACAGTGGCGTAACCAATTTCGGCGGGAGTAACAATTTCATCCCCTTTATCGTGATTTCCGTGTATATATATATATATATATATATGTATAAATGAAGTATTTGAAAAGTGTATTTCTTTTGCTTAGAGTGCTACATACGAAGTAAGAGTAGATTTTCTCACCCACTTTCAGAATTTATCTTTTATATCGTATCACAAGACCATATCTCAGAGGACACATGCCATGATAATGACAACATCGCGGTTTGTTTTTCAATATTGCATGATTACATTTATGAGATTGTTAGATTTAAGTAAAATTTTGAATACTACAAAATTCATTCTCAATTAAGATTTATTTTCAGTGGAAAATAATCTATTTAAGCATGTATCAAATTTCAGAAAAAATTAGGTTATATGTACTTTCTTCAAAGTAGAAGATTTATACCTAAAGATGAATCAATGTTTATAGGGGTCATGACAACAGACTCATTAGATTTCATACAATTTCATGAACAAATTTTTAATTAATGCTTTAAATTTAAAATAATTGAGTTATATATGAACCATTTGTTATTCCTTGGGGGATCAGACAGGAAGAAATTATACAAAGCATGACATTATGAATGATAGAACGTTAGGGGGTTAATTAGTGACTTATATTATATTTCTGGTGTTTTTATTACATAGCAAGACACTGCAATGCAGTAACGGAACACACAATAGAGGTCACGTATCGCGAACGATTTTATTAATTAATAATTTTAACGGGAATTCTCGATGTCGATTCAAAATTTGACAACTTTTAACCATTCGTTTATTATGGTAATTGAGTTACGCTGATTTGAATTTAATGGAAGATTAATGAATTCTTTGCGTGCTGCAATTACCGTGAATTTTATGCGCGGCGGCCACAATAAAATTAAAATTACACCATAAAGAAATCTAAAAATGAGATAATTATATTGTTTTTGCAGACAGATACATCATATTTACCGTTGATGCATGTACAAAATTATGAAAATGTATAAAATATTCTCGGTCATGAATCTAATCTTCTACCGTTAACTGTGAACTTTAGAACAATTGTTTGTAAAACCTTGTAAACATAAAACGGAAAATAAATAATCTTAAGTAATTTCCTAAAAACTAATGAATCAAACATAGGGTTTAGAGGTCAAATATCAAATCAATGGACTTAACAGAAGACCAGCTGAACAAATTGAAACAGATTACATAGTTCTTTCAGTCATTCTATTTCATTGACAATTTTTTTCTTTACGGCTAGGTACGCGCGATAGATAAGTTAACAGGCGGTCCCGTTATCAACACGGAATGTATCCACACGCACTTACTAATAACGCTTTCGTCATTCAAGTTTCATGCATACGACGTAAATTTCGAGACATTATCTAGAACAAACAAATATATATACTAGGTCATAACGTTACTCCAATTATTGTTTATAATATGACTTGAAATTCATGTCATCGATTCATATCACTAGTCCCACAAATGTTACAAACCCATTCACATATTTATTTGCGTAGTGATGGATGCTGAACTCTCTTGAAAGTTCTCTATAGGCAATTCGGACACAGAAGCTCTTGAAAATTCGTCTTCGATCCGAAGTGGGTGAAAAAGTACATTGAATAGAATAAAGAAATACAATCGTAATCAATCTTGATACTACTGAAAATAAATTAATACACTAGGTAGTATGTTCATGATACAATCCAAGAATCTATGAAATTATTTTTAAAAAAAGTAGGTACGTGCAAGTCAGTCCATTTACTCATTATACATAGTAAATATAGTATTTTTTGGATAACTCTGTGAAAATTTTACTATGGCTATAGTCGATCAATAGGACTATGTATAGCGATGCATTTAGAATATGCGAGTCTTTCAAGAGCTTCCGAAGCAACTTGACACTTACGTGGTGCGTTTGACGGCCGTTCGACGCGTCTCGCGCCCATCGTTACCTGACCGGATCGGCACTCACGATCGAAAGTTTTTACGAAACACACTAACCTTTTACGTTGGGTTATTATTTTCTGTCATCGCACACGGGATATGGTAGTGTCAATGGGAGGTTTTAATGTGTTCCAATCGGGCCGGTCTCTGTCGGTCGAGTGACACCGCCGATTTGATAGGTGGCCAGAAAAGAGGGTTGCATTGATGTTTGAAAGAAGTAAGTTATCTCAAGGCGACTAACGTAATGCTATTGTTGGTCGTTTGTAGGATGGATGCCGAGAGGTAGTCGCAATCAAGTGTGTAGACAAATCGTCGCTGTCCAAGTCGGCTATCGATAATATCGTCACAGAGATCAATCTCCTGAAAATTCTCAAGCACGAGAATATCGTAGAGATGAGGGACTTTTTCTGGGACGACGGGTTAGTAGAACCCCCAAAAATCACTAAATCTCCTTCGTGAATAGGACTCTGCCAAAAACAGTGGGAGTTGACCACTTTGGAAGAGATAAAATGAAAAGTATATAAATACAGTAAGGTTTAGATTAAAGCTATGAAATTGGATTCTGTAATGCACTATAATACCGTCACAATTTGGTAGGTATTGAGTTGGTGCAAATTGTTTGTATGGAGCTTTGGTTTCAATGAACTTCTTTGTTTATCAAGTTCGTTTTGCATTAATGTTTATTTGATATTTTGTCAAATATTTTCAATCTAGAGGTCAATGTTAGAGGTTGCAAAAATTGAAAATCTTAATTGTTATTTCCTTTTTGTTTTTACAAAGTATCCCAAGTATACTTTTCAGTTAAGATTTAATTTATATTTCAAATTCTTGTTCTGTTAGTTCAAATTTCACGTTAAAATGATGTTTTTACTGAATACTGATCACAAGAGAAATTCAAAAATGGTATTTATTGAAAATTTGATTCCAAAGTTCACGATCATCGGAATTTAAAGTTTTATTTAATATTTTTATAAATTGTTTTTGTTTATTTTATCTTATTTCAAAATTTTTTAGTGCAGGTTTTCACAATGTATAGATGACTCTTTTCTGTAATGAAAATTACTCTAGAATTATGTAACTTCATTTCCGATTGCGTTTTACAAATACGCCAAAACCATTGGACCAAACGAACACAAGTGATCTCGATATCCACTGACAATGAGTGACAGAGATAGATAAAATTTTATTCGAATGAAAGATGTTTATACCAAAGATTAAATACCAAGTATTCTTTTGGTTTCGGTGACATTGAAACCGATAAAATTACCGGTATTTTTTCAATTATCATTTAGCCAATATAATCTCTATAAACTGTGTTTAAAGAAGTTTTACAATTTTGGTACAAATACGCCAGAAATACATCCGTATTGTATTCATTGGCTTATGTGGATTATGTTCTCTCCTCTTTTTTAGAAATTCTTTTTCTTCATTCGACTGCAGACTATCATTTTTACGTTATAATCTAACTCATGATGTTCTTAATAATATTTTAATAATTAGAACCAACACAAGATGGCTTACAGTGTGGCTAAAAGCTGTATCTTGTTTAAGTTTGAGGCGCAGAAATGTAATTCCAAATATCCTAAAAATTTCGATAAAGTAAGAATGCTGAACACATACCAATAAATACACGTTTATGCTTGTAGTTTTATCTACCGATATTATAATATTGTTATTTATATTTTTACCGGTAATTCTGTTGGTGTTATAAAAATTTAACCGAACAAACTGGTATTTGTGAGCACTTAAAATCCGCTTTTAATGGATCTAGTAATTCCAAACATTGGAAATGTTTTGAAGAAAAAATTCGAAAAATACTAGAATAGTGGGAAAGGATCATAGAAAGCAACGACCAATACATCGATAATTACAAATAAATGGAAATCTTATTATTTTCTATTGAAAGTTACAGTCAAGAAACGATATTGGTAATTATTCGGAATAGGTGGTCCTGTCCGATTTCAATGATCTTAAAATATGTCAAGGATATTATTCTGAACAATTTTCCCTTATACATGTTACTGTCGCTTGGCCTTAGTTTGCGAGATATTCGCAAAAATATATCCGATACTGTATACTGAATTTTGCTGTTTACAACATGTATGTTATTGGTCTGTGGTATTCTACAGTACAAACCACACAATTGTAGCCTTATTCACGTGCGAATCATGTATTGCAAGGTTGTAGTGTCTCAAAAAAATACTGTTCGAAGCATTATACTGATCTGAGTTGGTTAGAGCTAGTTAAAAAACAAAGAAAATACTGTTCAAAGCATTATACTTATTTGAGTTGATTAGAGCTAGTTAAAAAATAGTATATATAGTATTTTACTGTTTACAACACGTATGTTATTGGTCTTAGGTATTTTACAGTACACACCGCACACACCTCTAGCATTGTTTACGTACGAGTCATTTAAAATAACGATTCTAACCAACTTTGAATTATTTTTTTCTTGAAATGTCTCTAACCAACTATGATCAGTATCATGCTTCAGAATTGGTCAGAGACAGGTCACGAAAGGCATAATTCAGAGTTGGGTAGAGACAGTTCAAGAAAAAAGATATCATTATTATTATTAGCACGAATTTTTGGCGGAATTCAACGACGAAATAAACAAGTATTTATTCTACCAGTTTGTTTTTTAACTAGCTCTAACCAACTCAGACCAGTATAATGCTTTGAACAGTAGTTTTGAAAACATAATAGCCTTGTAATACATGATTCGCGCGTGAACAAGGCTACAACTATGTGGTTTGTACTGTAGAATACCACAGACCAATAACATACATGATGTAAACTACAGTAAAATACAGTATATAGGATGTTAATTTTAATTTGAGCACCTACATTATTTCCGTTACTATTGAAAGTAAGAAAAAATGACTAAATAGGATGTACATGGTTTTAAGGCGTGCATCTGATGGCGATAAAATGTTTTTGACTTCTTATTACGTTTATGTACTTCTGCAATTTTTCAAACTGAAGATAATTTCTTCGTCTTCAAAGTATCTTCAAGGTCATGGTGTGTAGGTCATTAAACTCATCTTGACGTCGACTATCAAATCGCGTTATAAAAAATACATGTTAATATGTAAAAAAAAATACGATGATCTTGAGAAAACCGTTAAAATGACCTTCACAGGATTTTTTTTTATCTCCATCAGATGCACGCCTTAAAACCACGTACATCCTATTTAGTCACTTTTTCTTACTTTCAATAGTAGCGGAAATAATTTAGGTGCTCGAGTTAAAATTAACACCCTGTATAGTATCAAATTTTTGAATATCTCGGAAACTAAAGCCGAGCGACGGTAACATGTATAGAGAAAAGTTATTCAGAATGATGTTCTTGACAACATAGTGCAAGGTCAATTAAAATCGATCAAGATCCCTCTATTCCGAATAATTACGGCGACATTACTTATGGAATGATCTGATATGTTTTTGATACAAGTCCCTGGTTTGTTCCACTGTTTCATTCGCTACCTGTAACTTGTAACCCTTTTCGGACGGAGCGCTTCGGAACTGAACTCTCTGTGCAGCGGGATCCATTACTGCGCTAGAAATCCATTCCGAAAATCCATCTTAAGACACTTATGATTTTTACCTCTTTTAACCGAAAGATCTGCCAAGTGTGTTCATAAGCGTCTAATGAAACGTCAATAACGCGTATTTATGTAAATTCAACGGCCATTCCGATAATTTTCACCGAACGCGTGTATGTCTCTGTCGAGCAGTGTTGGGCACAATTTTATTTGAATAATACATAGGGACTTAAATCGGTATGATTTTGATACCGGTATTATGCCATCAAAGCTATACCGAAACCGATATATTACCGGAAACCAAAATAAATACCGGTATTTTTTCGGTTTCTATAAGGGTACGGCTTATACATGCATATAGAGTTTTATGGGGCGAAGGTATAACCGAAAATACCGGTATAATACCGGTATTTTATGTTTCGGTAGAAATTCCTGATAATACATACGGAAATACTACAGCATCTAAGAGCATCATTCTGAGCTTTAAACAGTTAATGAGATTAAATACAGTAGACTCCCGATTATCCAGCCCCGCTTTAACCGGTCTTCGCTTTAACTAGCCACGTTTTTGTTGATGTGAAATATATAGATATCGAATTAATAAACGAAATTAAATCAAAGAAGCAGAAAAGGATTACCGATTTTGTTGTATAAAATAATATTTAACCCTTATTTTCCCAACTTAATTTGTTCATCGGTGTCAAATTGACCCAGTGGTAAAAATTAATACAATGAAATGATAAATAGTTAAATTTGTAAATTCTTCCAAGTAAAAATTACGATGCCTCAGCTAAATTTACCATGACAGAATAACGTCATTTCTTAGGAGAAAACTGTGTCAAATTGACACAAGGAACGGATGATGGTTAATAAACATATTTTATATGTATGTATGTGTATAATAAACATTATAAATATGCTTATATGTTAATTTTTTTCTGTAACTACCTGGAAATGATAAGTGATACATGTTGTCGGATTAACCGGCCAGAGGTCCAATCCCACAAGGGCCGATTAAGCGAGAGTCTACTGTAATTGTTTGTTAAATGTCGACTTATTAAAAAAAAAGTATTATTTTATTATAAAAACTAGAATTTCCACGTTTAAACGAGTAAAACTGTCAAAATACTTTTTTATCTTTTATTCGTTATTCGAAACTCTTTACCTAGATAATGAATTTGCCTATCTCTGCTGTCGAGTTCATCCGTTGCGAAGATAGTTCGGGCTGAACGCATCAATATACAGTATCGTAGCTCCGCGAAGGGTTAGCTTGAATAAAATTACAACGATCCCTGCTCCATAGTATAGTTCACCGGCTAACTGTTCCAAGCAGTCCGTAAAGACGACTCTATCACCTAGCGTAACTTAGGCACATATACATCGTGATGGAGTACTGCGACGGCGGCGACTTGTCGAGTTTTATAAGGAGGAGGCACAAGCTACCGGAACAAATCTGCCGCAGGTTTCTGCAACAGCTCGCGTTGGCATTGAAGTATCTGCGCAATCACAATGTCTCTCACATGGACTTGAAGCCGCAGAACCTATTGCTAACGAGAAAGCCGCAACTGGTCCTAAAAGTTGGAGGTTCGTCCGTCGTTTCCAAAACATTTTCACGTTCTTCCACATCCATCGATTATTCCATTTTTTCCCATTGCTTTGGTATGATTAATTTTCAGACTTCGGTTTCGCTCAGTACCTTTCGAGTTCCGAGAAAAAATTCGCGATCCGTGGCTCGCCCCTCTACATGGCGCCAGAGATCTTACTGAAACGGAAGTACGACGCCCGCGTCGATCTGTGGAGCGTCGGCGTGATCATGTACGAGTGCCTTTTCGGGAAGGCCCCTTATTCCAGCAGTAGCTTTCAAGAATTGGCCGAGAAAATTAAGGATGCTAGACGCATAGAGGTGATTACGATATGGATCTACTGTGTATGACACGGGAGGGGGGGGGGTGGCAAAATATGTTACGGTATACGTATTTGTAGGTTATACGCTATTCGTGTTGTAGATATGCACGCCTATTAGCTGTCATACCCATGGGCGTAGCCAGGTTATCAGTCAGCGAGGGGGTGGGGGGGCAATGTTATTTTTCCTCTAGGAAGGGGGCGGGGGCAAAGTCCTATTTTTTTTCTTCTAAAGTAGTGCAAAACCCACTTTTTTCTGTCCTAGGGAGGGGACAAGTGACCCCCCTGCCTCCCCTGGAAACGCCAATGGTGATACCTTTAGCTACCGGCAACGAAAGTATTCGAATAGTTACTCGACCAATCAGATACTCGAAGATTCGTTATACCCGAAACACTTGTACGAATATTACAGTGGATTTGAGACAATTGTGCATGTACGAATTAACCGTAGTGTGTTCACAACCGGGCATCCAGACTTTGAGCTCGAGATTTGTTATGATCCCGCAAAAGTATCTTTAAATCCCTTCAGATCCTCCTTATTTAACTCATTTCTGATCGATTTATGTATTTACAGTTGACAACATTTTTGGTTAATATAAAAATGTCGATTTCAAAGTTTACACCGCGCTTGTTTTATAACCACGGTACCCAGATACATACCTACATAGAAATAAATCGTAACTGACGTATAATTTAAGAATGAAACTATACTAAAGGGTTGTGAAATGCAATTAAATCAATAAAAAATACACAATTATTAATAAATGACATATGTATCTAAAAAATGTTGACGATGATAACTTTTTCAATTTTTAGCAATAAAATTATACAGAATAATGAACTTATTTTAATATTTATTAATGTAAATTACTCGAAAATACAGTAAATAAAACAGCAGCCAAAAGAAATATAATATTCAACTTCGAAATACTCAAGCTCGTCCGTTCCAATAAAAGTTTCGTACAAAACTGAACGCTTATAGCAACTATCTATGTTGCTAAATGGCTTTCTTCAGTTCAAAGAATACAATATGCAGTTGTCTCAAATAGGAAGAGAAAGTTAAAATCGGTTAAAGGGTTTTGAATAACGGTCATTGGTGGGCGGGTACCTGAATACCCCGATCATGAAACAGTGTGGAACTTTTCGGTTATGAACACTACATAGGGTTAAATATGTATACTGCTCAGAACAATTAGAAGATCATACATTGAACCGACTGGCCTATCAGTGTGATGTGTAATTCCTAGAAAGTGTTTTATAAACACAAGGCTAAATGTTAGTATCGTATGGTCAATTTATCACACCTATAGGTTTTGTTTCGTTTCTTTCGCTTAGGTCCATGTTGTCCAGCGTGAGGGCCCTCACGCATCTGTTTCCCCTTCCAGCTGTCCTTTCGAACCGTGTGCCTTCCTAGGACAAAGAAGCTCAGACTCTTAGCTTTGTTACTCCATGGTAACGGGGGACGGCTGTTAGCGCTGTTGGCTCTAAGGCCGGGGCCACACGAGCGTTTTTGTCGGAGAACACAAGACAGACGACTGTAAAAATACATAGGGTTACATTGCAGAACGCACACGAGAAACGTCATGCCGGCCGTTGACTGGACCGCAGGAGAACGACTTTCGACTGACGAATGTCACAGCCGACGTAGAGGTATATTGTTTGGCATTGGAGACCACACACGGGAAACGTACGACATTATCGTTGGACGATGCGACGAACATTGCCGTTTTCGTCGGCCAATTTATGCTAGATGTCGTCAAGGAATCTACACATGCCCTCACGAGCAAACTGGGCTTCCGCTAGGGGAAAAAGTGATATAAGGGAAAGACCTCTTACCACTTGGACTCGGAGTTATTGAAATTTATGCCAAATTAATATTCGGTTTAACATTTATATCAGTATTTGAAATAAATTTATCAAGCGGTAGGAGGCCCTTACCCCTACATTTCTTTTTCCCCTAAAGGAAGCCGAGTTTGCTCGTCGGTGTATACCCACGAGCAAACTCGGCTTCCTCTAGGGAAAAAAGTCACACAGGGATAGGGCCTTCTACCATTCGATTTCGGAAGTTTCTGAAATTTATAGCAAATTAACATGCATTATAACATTTATTTCAGTACTTGAAATAAATTTACTAAGTGGTTGGAGACCTTTCTTCCACTAGGGGAAAAAGCAATGTAGGGGTTAGGGCCTCCTACTACTTGGTAAATTTATTTCAAATACTGAAATAAATGTTAACCCGAATGTTAATTTCGCATAAGTTTCAATAACTCCGAAACCAAGTGATAGAATATCTTTCCCTTACATCACTTTTTCCCCTAGCGAAAACCGAGTTTGCTCGTGAGTGTACATATCCTGAGAATTCGGGAAGCTAGGACATACGATTCTCTCGACCAGTGTTGGGCACTAATCGACTAAAATTTTTACTTTCATTGATTGATTAGCGCTTATGGTTCAAAAAATTAATCGTAAAAAATCGCGATTAATTTAATCAATTAACTAAGTCGTCAATCGTTGATTATAAATATTAATTGCTAATCATCAATTGATAAATAATTATTAATCATCGATTGTTAGAATTTCAATTAAATTTCGATAAAAAATGATTTTATGTATGCTTCTTTTACATTACGCTCATGTGGATTAATTTCACCACATTTGATATTTTGATCCAGTTATAAATCAAATAAATAAATTTGAATGAAAAATAGTATATTAAATTAAGTTAATAAAATAATAAAAGTAAATAATAAATTATTTTTTTCTCTTTTTATATATAAATAAATTAATTTCTTTCTGATTTGAAAAGAAGTACATCGCAACTTTTTATAAGCATTTCTTTACAAAAAAATAAGCAGTACCGTGGAATATGGTTAGATGTTACACTGGACTTTTCTTTTTTAAGATAAGTTCAAAAGTATGTATCCCGAAAGATTGGTGCAAAATTAATCAATCTCTTCATGATTGTGTAAATATACTTCAACATTCATAATGTATTAAAAATTGATTTTTAGTGACTGTTTTGACAAATATCTCGAGAGCAGTGTTGTGTAATATTTAATCCAATTAACAATTAACAATTGCAATTGATATATTTGATTATCGATCGCCATTAACAATTAAATCTTTACTTCGACCGATGTATAATCGCAGTGAATAATTGATTTCGATAATTAAGGGTACCCTCCGGTCAAAACGCTCGAAAAGTTCGTGATTTTCATGAATTCATAAAAAGACAATGGAACAACATATGGTAAAAAAACGGTTTCATCCTAGTTGCTACATATTTGAAGAATACAACAAAATTTTAACAATGTTTCCATAAAATATATAGCACTCAATGTACTACTGTACAAATTGGAGGTCTTGACGGGCGCCATCAGAACTCATGATAGGATCGCCTTAAGGGGACTTTCTCATTCAAAATTAAAAAAAGACACTTTTTTAATATTTCTTTATAAAAAAACTATTATATTTAGAAACATAATTCCTTTTGGACGCTATGATATATTATATTATTAAGAACATCAAGAAATTTTTTTCTAGCACTTTTAGTTCACCACGACCGCTGTAGAGGGCGTCTTCCAAAAGGCACGTTTTAATCGGTAAGACACTTTGCAGACGTCCTGTAAAAAATTAAGTAAAAATGCAAACGGGATTCTATTCGTGAGACTTAAAACTAGACAATAAACCTCTAAAAGTTCATAAAACTACCCCCCCTTTTTTATACAAGGGTGAATTGCCCCCAAAAAAGAGTGATTTTTCGAATTTTTCGGAAAACTATGTATAAAACGATAAAAAATACAAAAAATAAAATATTTTAGTGGTTTCTATATCTACATAGATCAATGTTAAAGGTTTTAACCTTTAATCAGCTATTACTGCAGCATACAACAACCCTTCCGTAACTTCATATTCCACTTCTAACTCGCTTTTATGTTTTTTTCGAGCTGCTTTATCTTCTTTTGACGCGCTCGTACTACGACGGTTAGTTTCTGCAATGCGCCCTAGGTCTTTCTGAATGTCAAAATTTTTAGCGTGGCGACCGATATTAATGCCCAATAAGTCCATGATGGTTAGTAAAGTTCGCATCATTCGTTAAACATGCATACCGAAACCCAGGCTGAAATTTCAAGAACGTTTCTTCCACAAAACATGTGTTTCGGAGTTTCGGAGTTTCGGAGCGAGCTGCCATATACACTTTTTGAATGCTTTGTTATTGTTCTGAGTATTTTTTCCTATACATCGTCTTAAACGTTCTTTAGAAGTCAAGCTTTTGTATACTGGTTTTACAATTTCTTGTATTTCTGGATCTAATGGAGGCTTGTGCGAATATTTTTATTTAGTCACTGTATGCTGTAAGTGAGGGTCAAATGACCGTGTTGTAAATATATGCTTGTAGAATCTATACTTTTGCGAATTTTTGATTGAAACTTTAACATAGCATTTTTTAGATGCTATATGATGAAAATATGCAAAACAAATCGATTTTTTTCAAAAATTTTGACCGAAGGGTACCCTGAATTGCAAATTAAATTAATGATGAACTAATAAATTGGAATTTTTTGTTTCACGCACTCATTATAATTACATTGTAGAACAAATTGTTATTTTTTTTAAGCGCTCCGATTCCCACCGCGTTTCTTATAGAATTCCTCGCGGTAGTTACAAATTTGCAAACTGTTTTGTTTCCTCACTCTCAGTTTTGCAGAAATTTAATGTTAAAGAAAAATCATATTTTTCCCCACATAAATAAATTTTGTAATGTAACTATAGAAATATTCAATTGTTGTTGCATGAAAATATTTTGCACACTTTTCGAAATTCTGATATCAATTTTTAATACATTATGAGTGATGGAGTACATTTATACCATACATCCTTTGTATGAACATTTATTTGATCATTTCAATTTCTCGTGAATATATTATATGTATATATTATATAATATATATATATATATATATATTAAATTGAATCATATCACACGATAATGAACACATT